GGCAGGTCGGCCGCTCCTGCTGGAGGAGCCAGGCGCGCCTCGCCGTCTTCCCAGCACCTTAGCCATCCCGCATTCTGTGCGTCGTGAGACTCTCGAGTGGAGGCCTGGCCTTTACCAAAGGGACCCCGGCGGGCAACTCCCAGGGAAGACAGAAGCAGAGCTCGCCTGTTACAAGCAGAGCACTCTGTGTAGGTGTGCAGTAGGCAAAACAAGCACAACATAGAAGGCTCGGCTGTTTCCTAAAAACTGGTAAGATCAAGTCTTCAGGTCTCTGCAGAAGTTCTGCTAGAGTCTCATCGAGTCACTCGTGTGTGTTGTTCGGGCTGCTGTGAGGCCTGACTCCCGCGAACTTGAAATAACTGGGAGACCTGCCCGTAAATGTCTTGGCCATCTGTGTTACTTCAGCAGTTAGTGCAGAGAGAACATCATTTTATTTATGCTCAGATACTTGAAACATTAACTGCAACTTGTTAGAACTCTGGCCTTTTTTTTTTCCCTTTTTGAGTCATAGTCTTCCTCTGTTGCCCAGGCTGGAGGGCAGTGGCATACTCACGGCCACCACAGCCTTGACCTGCAGGGTTCAGGTGATCCTTCCACCTCAGCCATCCAAGTAGCTGGAACTACAGGTGCGCACCACCGCACCCAGCTAATTTTTTGATTTAGTGTAGAGATGAGGTCTCACCAAGTTGCCCAGGCTGGTCTTGAAGTCTTGGGCTCTGGCAGTCCTCTAGCCTCCACCTCCCAAAGTGCTGGGATTACAGGATTGAGATACCCCACCCAGCCCAAACTCCAGCCTCTTTTTTTGGGGGGGGGTTCTCAGAGTCTCACTCTGTCCCCTAGGCTGGAGTGCAGTGGCACACTCATGGCCACGGCAGCCTTGACCTGCTGGGCTCAAGTGATCCTTCCGTCTTACTCTTCCACGTAGCTGGAACTACAGGCATGAACCATCACGCTTGGCTAATTTGTCTTGATTTATTGTAGAGATGAGGTCTCGCCATGTTGCCCAGGCTGGTCTCAAACTCGTAGGCTCAGGCAGTCCTCTGACCTCGGCCTCCCAAAGTGCTGGGATTATATGTGTGAGCCACCGGGCCTGGCCTTCTAGCTTCTTGAGGAGCGTAGATCTGTGATGGCTCTTCAAATCATTCGATTTGTTTTTTTAGAAACCAGTTTGGGCCCCGTGCAGTAGCTTAAGCCTATAATCCCAGCACTTTGGAAGACTGAGGTGAGAGGTTTGCCTGAGCCCACGGGTTCAAGACCAGCCTGGGCAACTTGGCGAGACCTCATCTCTACAATAAATCAGAAAATTAGCTGGGCGTGGTGGCGGGCACCTGTGGTCCCAGCTGCTCAGAAGATTGAGTGAGACCCCAACTCAAAAAAAAAAAAGAGAAAGAAACCAGTTTGGAACCGAAATTGTTGATACATTTATTCCAAAACTTGAACATGCTCACTTCTCCACTCATGCCAATATTCCTTCAGATCTGTTTGTGATACATACGACTACATCTCCAATTTGAGTGCAAGGGTGAATCATTTCTCTCAGATAATAATTTAATTTCAGGTTTGTGGTTTTTGTTGTTTTTAATTCAATGTTGGACTGTCTCTAGCTTTTTGCATTCTCTAGTTAAATATTGCCCAAAATATCAATACCCCAGATCTGGTTAAGCAGCTAGGTGTTTTTCTGTTTGTTTGTTTTTTGAATAGGAGTCTCACCCTCGCCCAGGCCGGAGTGCCGTGGCATGCTTATGGCCACCCTAACCTCAGCCCACTGGGCTCAGGCGATACTTCCGCCTCAGCCTCCCAAGTAGCTGGAACTGTAGGTGTGTGCCATCATGCCCGGCTAACTTTTTTAAGATTAGAAAATATAGTTTATTTTAAAAGTAAATTAGAGCGAGAGAGAGAAAGAAAAGATTCACCTCCCCAAGGTAGGGGAGGAGGGCTAAGCTTAAGAAAACATGACCCAGCCATAGCTTAAAAAGCACATGGCCATACCATAGCTTATGAAGTCAATGGCCCAGGCCGATCTGGAATCCCTGGGCTCAGGCAATCCTCTCACCTCCACCTCCCAAAGTTATGAGATTACCCCTGGAAGCCTCTGCACCCTGTTGCAACTAGGTTTTTAATAACAGACAGACGCCAGTTCCAATTCTGGTTCTGCCTCCTGTTTTGTTGAGTCGGAGTCTCATTCTGTCGCCCATGTTGGAGTGCAGTGTCTTCCTTGTTCTGCCTCTTATGAGATATGATCTCGGCCAGTCTGTTTTCTATTATCTGACTCTCCGTTTGCTTTCATCAGAAAAGTGGAGGTGATATCTATCTCAGAGTTGTTGAGAGAATGAAATAATGTAACTGCCGAGATTGGGTATGGCGACTCAAGCCTATAATCCCAGGACTTTAGGAGGCCGAGGTGAGAGTATTGCCTGAGCTTATGGGTTTGAGACGAGCTTGGGCAATTAGACAAGACCTCATCTCTACAATAAATCAAAAAATTAGCCGGACGTAGTGGCATGTGCCTGCAGTTCGAGCTACTTGGAAGGCTGAGGCAGAAGGATCAGCTGAGCCCAGCAGGTCGAGGCTGCAGTGGCTGTGGGCTTGCCACTGCACTCCAGCCTGGGAGACAGATTGAGACTCACACTGGAAAAAAAAATAATAATGTAACTACTGTACATGTAGCCTGACACATTATAAGCACTGGATAAGTGTTACTTTCAAACCTTAGTGTATATCATTAAATAGTAGGAAAAGTTGGCCAATATTAATATGTCATATTTTATCTGACTAGTGACCTTAAAAGGAGAAAAATGAAAAATGTTCTTAAGTTACTCACAACTCTGTTTTTCTGAGGTCAAAACTCATGTTTTTTAAGGCCCAGCAATAAAGTAATTATTTGCCTAATCTCCTGTCTTCTTTTTCCTGTTGGGCCAAGAGTTAAAGAAGAATTTTACTTATTATTGTGTTTAGTCTAAATAGCATGCCTAGTTAAAATAAATAAATAAAAGTAGGGACTTTGAAGTCAAATGGACCTAGGTGTACTGAGCTTAGTAACATTACTGTCTTTCCTAAACTTAGAGTTACTCATTTGCTAAAATGGGTGTTAAAGCAACCTTACTCCTAAGATTATTTTAACAATTACGCAAGATGGCAAGGCCAAAGACAATAGTCTCATGATATTTACAGTTGTTTGGCCCTTACTTTCTTTTTTTTTTGAATTGGAGTCTCACTCTGTCACCCAGACTGGAGTGCAGTGGCCGCTCCCGGCCACCGCAGCCTCGACCTGCTGGGCTCCAGCGATCCTTCCACCTCAGCCTTCCAAGTAACTGGAACTACAGGTGTGCGCTACCACGCCCGGCTAATTTTTTTGATTTATTGTAGAGATGAGGTCTTGCCAAGTTGCCCAGGCGGGTCTCGAACCCCCAGGCGCAGGCAATCCGCTCACCTCAGCCTCCCAAAGGCGCGGGATTACAGGCTGAGCCACTGAGCCCGGCTTCAGCCCTTACTTTCAAAAGTATTATTAGTTTTAAACTGCTCATATTTATGTATGTAATTGGTGAGACCTAGAGTTGTAACAGAATGAGAAAATTGAGTGTTGTAGCCAAGTAACCATATACCATTGTTTTTGCTCAGAATCCCCCCCTCCTTTTTTTTTTTGGAGTCAGAGTCTCACTGTCACCCAGGTTGGAGTGCAGTGGCACACTCACAGCCACCACAACCTCGACCTGCTGGGCTCAGGTGATCCTTGTGCTTCAGACTTCCAAATAGCTGGAACTACAGGTGTGCGCCTCCACACCCAGCTAATTTTTTGATTTATTGTAGAGATGAATTCTCACCAAGTTTTCAAGGCTGGTTCGGAACCCTTGGCTCCAGCAATCCTTTCATCTCAGCCTCCCAAAATGCTGGGATTACAGGCATGAGACCCAGCCCCCAGCCTCAGAATCCCCTTAATAAGCTTAAAAAATGATTTTGGCTGGCACAGTGGCTCAGCCTGTAATCCCAGCACTTTGGGAGACCAAGACGAGAGGATTGCCTGAGTCCAGAGGTTTGAGACCAGCCCAGACAACTTGGTGAGACCTCGTTTCCACAGTGAATCACAAAAACTAGCCGGGCATGGAGGCATGCGTCTGTAGTTCCAGCTACTTGGAAGGCTGAGGTGGAAGGATCCCCTAAGCCCAGCAGGTCGAGGCTGCAGTGACCAGGAGCATGCCACTGCACTCCAGTCTGGGCAGCAAGAATGAGACTCCAAAACACACACAAAAAATGATTTCACTCCTTCAGCTTTTGATTGCTTACTTAGGCCAAGTATTTAGAGCTGGGAATACAAATGAAGATGAGAGAAACCCTGGTGCTTCTTGCTATGCACAGTCAGCTTCCTGGGGGGGTGTCTATGGCATGTTGAGTACTGTGAGTGTGTTTGGGGTGATGGGGAGAGCAGTGTAAAGTGCTGTGAGCCCATGTATCCTGACTTACTGAGAAACCTCTGGGCAGAAAAGGGCTTCTAAACTGAGTCCTGAAGTGGTTAGAAAAGGTGGCAGGGAGTGTTTCAGTCAGAACACCATGTACCAATCCTAAACTTTCACATCTGAACATCAGGTGACCTGAAGCATTCAGTTATTTAAAGTGGAATGAAGCAATGTGTATTTCTTTTTTTTTTTTTGAGTTGGAGTCTCACTCAGTCGCCCAGACTGGAGTGCAGTGGCCGCTCCCGGCCACCGCAGCCTCGAGCTGCTGGGCTCCGGCGATCCTTCCACCTCAGCCCTCCAAGTAGCTGGAACTACAGGCGCACACTACCACGCCCGGCTAATTTTTGATTTATTGTAGAGATGAGGTCTCGTCAAGTTGCCCTGACAGGTCTTGAACCCGCAGGCTCAGGCAATCCACTCACCTCAGCCTCCCAAAGTGCTGGGATTACAGGCTGAGCCACCAAGCCCAGCTCGTGTATTTCTTTGTGACAGATTTTGTGACTTCTTCCACTGAAGAGTATGAGATTTAGAAAGTCTCATAACGATTAGGGGGAAAAGAAAGCAATAATAAGTTACACACTTAGGTTGTGCTGTGTATCTGAGCTGTAATCAAAGCAACTTAATGCTGTTTTAAAATTCAACTTTCTTTTGGGTAAGGGGTAAGAGTGAGCCAGCAAGTCTTATTTTTAAACAGTATTTGAATTAATGAACCATTTCCCTATTAATGTTGTATTGAATTTGAAAATTTGAAATTTGAATTTGAAAAATGCTTGTCAGAATGTGAAATATATTTAAGAATGTAGCATATGCTTTTGTAACAAAGCAAAACAAAAATTTTTTTTTTTTTTTTAATAGAAGTCTCACTCTTTCTCCCAGGCAGGAGCGCAGTGGCATGCTCCTGGCCACCTCACCTCCACCTGCTGCAGGGCTCAGTATCCTTCCACCTCAACCTTCCAAATAGCTGGGATTCCTGGCCAATTTTTTGATTTATTGTTACTCAAGTTGCTCAGGCTGGTCTCGAACCCCTGGACTCGGGCAGTCTTCTCACCTCCACCTCCCAAAGTGCTGGGATAACAGGCATGAGCCACCGTGCCCAGTAAAAAAGAAGAAAAATTCTTAAAGCAAGTACTTTTAAGTCCTAAATAACTGTTTCACATCTCCTGAACATTGGACAGTCTTTCTTCTGGGAATCCCTGAGTAGTTCATAGAACCAAAGGCTAAACCTTGTGCATATTGATTGATCAGAGCTTGACTTTCCACCAATGAATGTCTTAACTCTGAGGTGACTGTTGGGTTCTGAACTTAGTTTTCTTTTTTAAAGGATGGTAGTCACTTTCTTCAGGGGCAGGCTTGAATTTGATTAAAGTAGAATTTTAAGAACTTAGTCAAGTTGTAATTGTTCCAGGTGCTCAGTTTCATTCCTGTAAAATTTCACTCTATAACCAAGCTACAGTGATACCCTCTTAGGTCAACTCTGCCTACAGAGACCTTTGTTTCTTGGTTAAATCATTTCTCAGATGAGCAGTCTATACTGCCTTCCCAAGTCCCATTATTCCAAAGCTGCCTTCAGAAAGATAGACCAATAATAGTTAAGTATATATTTGAAATGTGCGCTAAGATTTTTTGTGTGTGTGATTTAGGCTAAGTTATGCCAAAGCAAATAATCCAATCTCCAAAAGATGCACAGGTTATTTCAGATCATCTTTGCCTAAATGGTACTTCTGTTTAGAAGGTGTGTAGCCAGTCTCAGTGGCTCAGCCTATAATCCTAGTACTTTGGGAGGCTGAGGTGAGTGGATTGCCTGAGCCTGCGTGTTCGAGACCAGCCCGGGCAACTTGGTGAGACCTTGCCTCTACAATAAAAATAAAAAAAATTAGCCTGGTGTGGTAGTCAGCGCCTATAGTTCTGGCTACTTGGAAGGTTGAGGCGGAAGGATCGCCAGAGCCCAGGAGATCGACGCTGGGGTGACCGTGAGCCTGCCACTGTAGTCTGGGCGATGGAGTGAGATTTTGACTCAAAAAAAAGGTGTGTTGATCTTTGTTCTTTTCTGGGCAGTGTACTATTGGAAAGCATTATCAACAAGTGAAACATAAATACTGGGAAAGTCTTACCTTTTGACAGCAATGGTAATAAAAAGTGTTCTTTAAGAAGTGCTGCCACTGCTTTTCTGAAATATCAGTCTTCTGTTCTAGTGCGTAAATTCACAGAGAAACATGAATGGATAACAACTGAAAATGGAATTGGAACAGTGGGAATCAGCAATTTTGCACAGGTATTGGATTGTCTCGAAACATCTGTTATAGTCTGCCCTTGCATAATTTGGATTGTCTCTATTAAAAATTCTTTAATCTACCTTTGAATCTGAATTTTGCATCCTTTAAAGGTGCTTAGAAAGAAAATCAGCTGATCATTGTGACTTATACCTGTCATCCCAGCACTTTGGGAGACTGAGGCAGGAAGATTGCTTGAGCCCCAGAGTTTGAGACCAGCCTGGACAATATAGCAAGACCTCATCTCTACAAAAATAAAAAAATTAGCCAGGCATGGTGGCACATGCCTGTAGTCCCAGCTATTCAGAGGCTGAGGCAGGAGGATTGCCTGAGCCCAGCAGGCTGAGTCTGTGGTGAGCCGTGATTGTGCCACTGCACTCCAGTCTGCACTAAAAACAAAACAAAAAGATGAAATAAGTAAAACATCATTTAGTGAGAGCATTCTATGGTGTTTTAAGAGATGTTGAAAGGTTAGCACTTATGGTCAGAAACATACCTCATTCAAGACACACACACGATCCAGGTCACACAGAAGGAAACTTTTTATTTATTTATTTATTTATTTATGAGTCAGAGTCTCACTCTCGCCCAGGTTAGCGTGCAGTGGCACGCTCACAGCCACCACAGCCTGGACCTGCTGGGCTCAGGTGATCCTCCCGCCTCAGCCTTCCAAGTAGCTGGAACTACAGGTGCATGCCAGCATGCCCAGCTAATTTTTTTGATTTATTGTAGAGATGAGGTCTCACCAAGTTGCCCAGGCTGGTCTCGAACCCCTGGACTCAGGGAATCCTCTCGCGTCGGCCTCCCAAAGTGCTGGGATTACAGGTGTGAGCCCCCGTGCCCGGGCCGGAGATCTTTTATTTAGCCCTTCTTTCCTCTATTAATTCCCCGATTTCCACTGATTTCATATTGAGATTGTTTAAAAGGAGACCCCATGGTCGCATGGGTCAGTGATGGGAAGGTGTGTTGGGAAAGGGGCGCGTTAACTGATGGGAATGCAGGTATGTGTTGCTTAACAACAGGGTATGTTTTGAGAAATACCTCTTGGGGATTTCATCCGTGTGAACAGCCAGAACACATATGCACTGACCTAGACAGGAAAACCCCTTGAAATCAAGGCTGTGTGGTTGAGCCCAGCTTCTGGCTGCAAACCTGTACAGCACATGTCTGCACTGAATACTGCAGGCAGTTGTAATACCATGGGAAGTATTTGAGAAGGTACAGTAAGAACACAGCAGAGAGTTGAGCATCCCTAATCTTATTTTCAAAATGTTCACGATTCGGTACTTTTTGAGTGCTGACATGATACTCAAAGGAAATGCTTGTTGAGCATTTTGGATTTCAGATTTTTAGATTAGGGATGTTTAACTGGTAAGTATCGTGCAAATATTCCACCATCTGAAATCCAAAACACTGTGGTCCCAGGCCTTTTGGATAAAGGGTACTCAGCCTGTGTTATAATCTTATGGGACCATCATCATATGCCGTTTGTTATTGACCAGAATATCATTTTGTAGCGCATGACTCTACGGAATTCCTCAGAAATGCCAGGTTCTTGGGCATTGAGAATCATTGACAATTATGTCTTTATTGGCATACTGTGTACCTACTATGAGGCCCAGTACAGGGTATTTTGTGAAATGCTGTATAAGATGTCGTCCTTACCTCCTGGAGTTTATCTATGAGGAGAGTCACCTTCATGACAGTGGTATACAAACACTGAGGGATAGGTGTTATTTAAGCGGTATGGGACGCTGTAACTCACTCTCTTCTTCCTGGAGTTATGGTCTTCACGGAGTACAAGGTATGAAGACTGTGATTTGTAGGAGGATTTTAGCAAATGCAGTGGGGGCAGTGGTGTAAGTAAGATGCACCAAGTATATTTGTACTCAGAAGAGCTAGTAATCTTGTTCAGGGCATATAGATTGTAACTAGGATCACCACAGCCAGTGGGCAAATCTGGCTGGTGGTCTGAGTTAAGAATAGTTTTTAAAGGGTTGTGAGGAAAACTGAAGATTGTGGCCTATCAACTACAAAATATTAATTATAGGGCTTCGGTGTTTGGTTTGATCTATCTAATGGGGGTTTAAGTTGACTTCTTAGAGATTTTTAAATTTGTCTTGTGTTATTTAGGAAGCTTTGGGAGATGTTGTTTACTGTAGTCTGCCTGAAGTTGGGACAAAATTGAACAAACAAGGTGAGTGTTTTTTTTTCATGTTGGAATGTCATGACTCATACCATGAATTTCCTTTATCCAGTCTTTTTGTTTTGTTTGTTTTGTTCTGAGTTAGTCTCACTCTGTCACCCAGGCTGCCGTGCAGTGGCACGCTCACAGCCACCACAGCCTCGACTTGCTGGACTTAGGTGATCCTTCCGCCTCAAGTAGCTGAAACCACAGGCATGTGCCACCATGCCTGGCTAATTTTTATGATTTGTTATAGAGATGAGGTCTCGCCATGTTGCTCAGGCTTGTCTTGAACCCCTGAGCTTAGGCAGTATTCTTGTCTGCGCCTCCCAAAGTGCTGGGATTACAGGTGTGAGCCACCATGCTGTGCTCCTTTACCCGTAGTTACACTCAATAGTAACTTGTTTGCGCCCAGGTTCAATTAAAATACTTTTGACTTGATTAACAGAATATTCAGATAAAGGTAGTTTAACAGTAGGGTTTATTATTATCTCATACAAGCAGTCTGAAACAGGTGGATATGGGGTTGGTTCAGGTGAAGTCATCAAGTTCACAACCTCTTTTTGTTTTTGTTTTTTTATTTTTTTATTTTTATTTTTAGTTGGAGTCTCTCACTCTGTTGCCCAGACTGGAGTGCAGTGGCCGTTCCTGGCCACCGCAACCTTGACCTGCTGGGCTCCGGCGATCCTTCCGCCTCAGCCTTCCAAGTAGCTGGAACTACAGGTGCACGCTACCACGCCTGGCAAATTTTTTGATTTATTGTAGAGATGAGGTCTCGCCAAGTTGCCCAGGCGGGTCTTGAACCCACGGGCTCAGGCAATCCACTCACCTCAGCCTCCCAAAGTGCTGGGATTACAGGCTGAGCCACCGAGCCTGGCACAACCTCTTTTTGTACTTTATTTTTTATTTTAAAGATGTGGGGTGCAATTCAGGGTTAGGTATATAGAAGTTCATTTTTCAGGTATCCTTGTTGATGAGGTGTGCTCCTCCCTCCCCTGGCAGTTTCCCACTACTGCCTCTTTTTGTATTTTTTCCTTCCTCTTTGTGTCAGAGGTCAGAAGATGGTGGCAAAATCTTCTGTCATCACATTTGCAAATGATGATATCTAAAAGTAGGGAAAGATTGGCCGTGGTGGTTCACACCTGTAATGCTAGTACTTTGAGAGGCCAAGGAGGGAGGATCCTTTGGTCCCAGGAATTGGAGACCAGCCTAGGCAACATAATGAGACCTCATTTCTTTTTTTTTTTGAGTTGGAGTCTCACTCTGTCGCCCAGACTGGAGTGCAGTGGCTGCTCCCGGCTACCACAGCCTCCACCCAAAGGCGCGGGATTACAGGCTAAGCCACCGAGCCCGGCTGAGACCTCATTTCTACAAAAAAAAAAAAAAATTGCGCAGGTATAGGCATGCACCTGTAGTCCCAGCTTCTTGGGAAACTGAGGTGGAAGGATCTGAGCTCAGGAGGTCAAGGCTGTTGTGAGCCATGATCCTGCCACACTGCCCTCCAGTCTGAGTGTCAGAATGAGACACTGACTCTACATAAATACATAAATATATAAATAAATAAATATAGGAGGAGGTGGTAGGCTGTCTCTTCGTTGTGAAGGACCCACTAACAAATCTCCAGATGTTTTCTCTTTTGCCAGGTCTGGGTTGCATTGCCACCTCTGGCTGTGAGGGATGATGGGAAGGGGAATAAAGAGCATTTTCAGACTTTATAGTGTAAGGCAGGAAACAGATGGAAATAGCCCTTAAGACTTCCCCATACACTGATTTCTACTGTGTAACATAGCTGAGGTCTATTAAGTTTAAAAAGTAAAATCTGGCTTTCTTTTGTGGTAGTAGACAGTATCAAGAAAGAACATGAGCTCAGGAGTCAGGACCTGGTTTTTAAATCCAGGCTCCACAACTTACTGCCTCTGTGACTTCCGGGAAATGACTTAATTTAGGTATCATCTATAAGTTAGGGTACCTACGTGATAGAGCTGATGTAAGGATTAAATAGCCATTGTGTCCTGCATAAGTGCTTGGCAAATGTTAACTGATCGTACCAGGTATATTATTCACCAGTTCCTTTTCACATATAAAATAGTCCTACAGAATTGTGTGTGTGTGTATGTGTTGGAGTCTCACTCTGTTGCTCAGGCTAGAGGGCAGGGGCATGCTCCTGGCCTTCGCAACCTCAACCTGCTGGACTCATGTGATCCTTCTGCCTCGGCCTTCCATGCGCCACCACACCCAGCTAATTTTTTGATTTATCGTAGAGATGAGGTCTCCCAAGTTGCCCAGGCTGGTCTCGAACCCGTGGATTCAGACAGTCCTCTCACCTCAGCCTCCCAAAGTGCTGGGATTACAGGCGTGAGCCACCGCACCCGGCCTATAAATGTTCTTGTAGAATGCTTCTTTTCTTGAGTGTATGTTTTCATCTTTTTGGGTAAATCTATATAAGAGTGGAATTTCTGGATCATATCTAGGTAAATGTTTAACTTAAACTACCAAAAGGTTTTCCAAAGTGGTTGTACCATTTTACATCCTTCCCAGCAGTGTGTGAGAGTTCTACTTGCTGCACATCTCCTTGTGGTGTTAGCCTGTATTTCCCTAGAGACAGATTATCATTGAGGACCCTTCCATATGCTTTTTTTTGAATCGGAGTCTCACTCTGTTGCCCAATCTGGAGTGCAGTGACACACTCACGGCCACCACAGACTCGATCCGCTGGGCTCAGGCAATTCTTCTGCCTCATCCTTCCAAGTAGCCGGAATCACAGGCATGCACCACCACACCCAGCTAATTTTTTGATCTGTTGTAGAGATGAGGTCTCACCATGTTGCTCAAGCTGGTTTTTAATTCATGGGCTTTGGCAGTCCTCTCTCCTCTGCCTTCCAAAGTGCTGGGCTTGCAGGTGCGAGACACTGCACCCCACCCATATGTTTTTTGCCAGCTGTCTTTTTCGGTGAAATCTCTATTCAAGCTTTTTACCAAGTATATTTGGGTTGACTTTTAACCATTGATCTTTTAAAGCATTCTTTAAATACCCTGGGTACAAATCCTTTTCCAGATAAATATTTTGTCATAACTTGTCATTTTTATTTGTTTTTTGATGAGGAGAAGCTTTTATTTTTTTATTTTGTGTTATAGTCTCCCTGTCGCCCCAACTGGAGGGCGGTGGCATGCTCATGGCCACCACAGCTTCAAACTACTGGGCTCCAGTGATCTTTTTGCTTCAGCCTTCCAAGTAGCTGGAACTACAGGTATGTGCTACCACGCCCAGCTACAGAAGCTTTTAATTTTGAACCAGTCTAGCTTATTAATATATTTTAATTTATGTATAGATCATTGTGTCTTCTTTTTTTTTTTTTTTTTTTTTTTGAGTTGGAGTTTCACTCTGTCGCTCAGGCTGGAGGGCAGTGACATGCTCATGGCCACCGCAGCCTTGACCTGCTGAGCTCAGGCAATCCCTCTGCCTCAGCTTTTCCAATAGCTGGAACTACAGGCATGTACTACTATGCCCAGCTAATTTTTTGATTTATTGTAGAGACTTGGAAGGATCAGCTGAACCCAGCAGGTCGAGGATACAGTGGCTGTGAGGGCTGGCCTAGGCAAGAGTGAAACTCCGACTCAAAAAAAAAAAAAAAAAAGAAAGTTAAAAAGAAAACATTGGAGAATAATATCTTTACAGACTTGGTGCTATGGTCTCAATGTCTGTGATTCCCCAAAATTAAGATGTTAACACCATCTATTGCCCCATTTGATGTTTCATGCCAATTTTCATGCAGTACTTGCTTCAGCAATGGATTATCCAAAGTAATATAGCGGGAGCTAATACTGGAAAACATTTCACAGTACCCCATGCCACTGAGATGGTTTGGGAACCATGGTGATAGACAGAAATTTATTGAAGAAGACACAATGGGCCAGGCATAGTGGCTCAAGCCTATAATCCCAGGGAGGCTGGGGTGAGAAGATTGCCTGAGCCTGCAAGTTCAAGACCAGCCTGGGCAACTTGGTGAGACCTCATCTCTACAATAAATCAAGAATAATTATCTGGGCATGGTGGCGCACACCTATAGTTCCAGCTACTTGGAAGACTGAAGCGGAAGGATCACCTGAGCCCAGCTGGTGGAGACTGCGATGGCCATGAGCGTGCCACTGCACTCCAGCCTGGGTGACAGAGTGAGACTCCAACTCAAAAAAAAAAAAGCAACATAGAGATGATTTAAAGGATTGTGCACTGTATTCCATTTCAATATATCCCTTATATGATGCCATTTTATTTTTTATTTTATTATGTTTTTGAGTTGGAGTCTCATTCTGTTACCCAGACTGGAGGGCAGTGGCATGCTCAAAACCACCACAGCCTCAATCTGCTAGGCTCGGTGATCTTTCTGCTTCAGCCTTCCAACTAGCTGGAAGTATAGGCATGCGCCACCACGACTGGCTAATTTTTTGATTTATTGTAGATATGAGGTCTTGCCAAGTTGCCTGGGCTGGTCTCGAACCCATGGGTTCAGGCAATCCTCTCACCTTGGCCTACTTAAATGCTGGGACTATAGGCATGAGCCACTGCCCCCGGCCTCAATGCCATTTTATATCAGGCACTTGAGCATGGGTGGATTCTGATATCCATGGGAGGTCCCAGAACCAGTCTCCCTTGGATTCTGAGGGACAACTGTGTATCTATATTCCTCCATTAACTCAGGTCTTAGATATCCCTCTCAGCAATGTTTTATAGTTTTCAATGTAGAGGTCTTGCATGTCTTGTGCAGTAGTTTATTGTTTTTGGTATCAGCTAATATAAATGGAATTTTTAAAAATTTTGTTTTCTAACTATTGCTAGTCACATATAGTAGTACTATTATTTGAATATATTGACTGTTTATCTGTGACCTTACTAAATTCACTTATCCTAAGTTTTGTAGATTCCTTAGAATCTTTTGTGTAAATAATGATGTAATCTATCATAAGGAATTTTATTTCTTGCACTCTTTACGGGTTTTCTTTTCCCTTCCTATTGCACTGGCTAGGCTCCTCAGTATAGTGTTGAATAGAAGTGGTAAGAATAGACATCATTGCCCTTTTCCTCTTCTTAGGAGAAAGCATTTACTATTTCATCATTAGGAATGATATTAACTGTGGGGTTCTTCACAGATGCCCATTATCAGAAGAGGAGTTTCCTTTTTATACCTTGGTTTCTGAGAGTTTTTGATGTTGAGTTTTGTCACATTAGTTTTTATCTGTTGAGATAATTATATGTGGCTTCTCCTTTAGTCTGTTATTTTTATTTTTTTATTTTTGAGTAGGAGTCTTACTCTGTCACCCAGGCTGGAGTGAATGGCGCGCTCACGGCCACCGCAGCCTCAACCTGCTAGGCTCAGGCAATCCTTCTGCCTCAGCTTTCCAAGTAGCTGGAACCTGCCACCACAAGCGCCTGCTACCACGCCCAGCTAATTTTTCTTTATTGTAGAGACAGGTGAAGGTCTCGCCAGCTTGCCCAGGCTGGCCTCAATCCCTGTACTCAGGCAGTCTTCTTGCTTCCACCTCTCAAGGTGCTGGAATTACAAGCATGAGCCACCGTGCTGGACTACTTGATAGATTTTCTGGCAACTAATTATTTATCTGAAAATGCCTTTATTTCTCTTTCCTCCCTCCTGTCCTTCCTCCTCTTCTTCCTTCCTTCTTTTTTGAGATGAGTTCTCCTTTTGTTGCCCAGGCTGATCTCGAACTTCTGGGCTCAAGCAGTCCTCTTGCCTTAACCTCCCAAAGTGCTGGGATTATAGATGTGAGTCACTGCGCCCAGCCTACTATTATTCTTGAAGGATATTTTTGCATATGTGAAATTTTAGGTTGACAGATTCTTCCTTCCTGCCCCTGGTACTTTCCTTCCATTGTTAATTGGCCTTTTCTTTCCAGATGAGAAGTCAGCTATTCTTCTTATCTTTCTCCTATATGTAATATACCAGGTCCAACAATTAAGTTCTGGAACTAGTGCTAGAAAAAGTGCTACATGCCTTATTGCTACATATCATGATGGTCACCTTTGGAGTACTACCATTGAGAAACTAAAGATATGGAAAACAATACTTACACAAGCCATAAGCAAACTGCTAAAAACTCAGCAATCAAAGGAACACAATACGAAGTCCACCAGTTAGGTTCATGAACTATCCTAGAAAAAGTGCTATATGTCTCTTTGCTGAATATCACTATGGTCACCTTTGAAGTACTCCCCTTGGGAAGCTATGCACCGACGCCAGAGCCTAATCCACTTGTCAAAGCAGTTCTGGAACTCTTTTTCTGGAATGGCCGTCAGAGTTGTCATTGTCAACCTGCTGTTCTGAATGTCATAAATATTCTTCCTTTATCTTTGGGTAAACAAAAAGGTCATTGGGGCCAAATCAAGTGAGTCGAGAGGGTATTCCTATACAGTTATTTGTACAGTGCTGCCAGTGTAAGCGCATGGTGGCAAGTTCACAAACTTAATTGTCAGACCTCAGCAAATAACAACAGTTCTGATGGCCATTCCAGGAAAAAGGGTTCCAAAATTGCTTTGACAGATGGACTAGGCGCTGGCATCGGGTATATAGGTTCCCAAGAGAAGTACGTCAAAGATGACAGTAGTGAGATTCAGGAATGAGGCATGTAGCACTTTTTCTAGGATAATTCATGAACCTAATTGTCGGACCTCATATTATGTTCCTCTGAGTGCTGAGTTTTTGGCAGTTTGACTATGACTTGTGTAAGAATGGTTTTCTGTATGTTTATCCTGTTTGGGGTTTACTAAGCTTCTTGTATCTGTATTTTTTTTTTCCACCAAATTTAGAGATTTTTTTTGTAGGGAAGTCATTATCTCTTCTTTTTTTTCCCTACTCCATTCTTTCTTTTCCTTCTGCAAGCCCAGTTACATATTTGTCAGATCACTTGTTACTATCCCACAGGCTCCTGAAGCTCTCTGTTAATTTTTCAGTCTTTTTGTTACTGTTTTTTGTTGAAGTCTCACTCTGTCACCAAGGCTGGTGTACATGGCACGTTCACGGCTACCACAGCCTTGGTCTACTGGGCTCAGGCAATTCTTTTGCCTCAACCTTCTAAGTAGCTGGAATTACAGGTGCGCTCCACTATGCCCAGCTAATTTTTTATGCATTGTAGAGACGGCCTCGCCAAGCTTGCCTAGGCTAATCTCAAATCCCTGAGCTCAGCCAATCGTCTTGCCTCCACCTCCCAAAATACTAGGATTACAGGTGTGAGCCACCGCTCCAGACCTGAACACACTTATATTAGCTACTTTAAGTTTCTCTGCTAATTCCAACATGTGGGTCATTTGGGGATACATTTGTGTTAACTACTTTTTCTCTTCACCATGACTCCCTTCTTCCTAGGATTTTATCCCTCAATTTCCAGCCACTCTGGCAGCTTCACAGTCCATCCTTTGACCCCTCAAACAAATAAGACTATGGTTTTCTGTTTATATCCTAGTCACTCTTTGCTCTTTGCATGGGGGAAATAGGGGCAGGGAACAAATTGTATAAATGAAGATCTCACCCAGTTTGGTTCCCTTCTTCCAAGGATTGACTCCTTTTGCTCACTCCATAAAGCCTTCATATACAGGTTGAATATCCCAAATCCAAAAACCTGAATCCAAACTCTGAAAATGTTTGATCACCCACATGACACTCAAAGGAAATGCTCATCGGAGCATTTCAGATACCGGATGTTTGGATTTGGGATGCTCAACTGGTAAATATAATGCAAATATTCCAAAATCTGAAACATTTCTGGTTCCAAACATTTTAGGTAAGGAAGACTCAATTGCAGTTTTTTAAATGTTTAGTTCAGAGTCTATAATTGTTACCTGCATCTGATACAAGGTACTTCACATTACTGAAATGTTCTAAATTTGTCATTTTTGCTTTGTGGGGGTCCACAATAAGTTGCAAGAAAATTGAGTTTTACTGCACTTATACCATTTGTTATTCACTGTGTTCAGGACAGATAGGTCCACTTTTAGAGCCAATTGATACCTTTCTCAGATGTGATTGGACATGTGCAGGGTGGAATGGCCATTATTATACCCTTCTCAGAGGTTATAATAAGCACAACAGAACCTGTGTTTTTATTGTATTTTTTTTTTTTTGAGTTGTAGTCTCACTCTGTCACCCAGACTGGAGTGCAGTGGTACACTGACGGGCACTGCAGCCTTGACCTGCTGAGCTCAGGCTATCCTTCCACCTCAGCCTTCCAAGTAGCTGGGACTACAGGCACATACCATCATATCTGGCTACTTTTTTGATTTATTGTAGGATGAAGTATCGCCAAGTTAGCCAGGCTGGTCTCAAACCCATGAGCTCAGGCAGTCTTCCCACTTTGGCCTCCCAAAGTGCTAGGATTATAGGGATGAGCCACTGTGCCAGCATGTTTTTATTTTAAATTAGGAAATTTGGAATTTTTATTTTATTTTATTTTTATTTATTTTTTGCGTTGGAGTCTTACTCTGTCACCCAGACTGGAGTACAGTGGCTGCTCCCGGCCGCCTCAGCCTTCCAAGTATCTGGAACTACAGGTGCGCACTACCATGCCCAGCTAATTTTTTTTTATTTATTGTAGAGATGAGGTCTCACCAAGTTGCCCAGGCGGGTCTTGAACCTGCGGACTCAGGCAAACCACTCACCTCAGCCTCCCAAAGCACGGGATTACAGGCTGAGCCACCGAGCCTGGCTTAGGAAATTTGAAATTTTTAAATCATAACTATATGAGAGGTGCCTGGTTACATTATATTTTCATATCATTGACTGTTAGCATTTACTATTTTTTTAAATTGTTTTCCATTTAGATGAGTTTGGTGCTTTGGAAAGTGTGAAAGCTGCCAGTGAACTCTATTCACCTTTATCAGGAGAAGTAACTGAAATTAATGAAGCTCTTGCAGAAAACCCAGGACTTGTCAATAAATCTTGTTATGAAGATGGTAAGTAGTTGGCTAGAAAAGTTTTCAAGGATTACTGCTGTAGTTACCATTTAATCTAGAATTTAAAGCAAGCTTAGCTGTTTGTGACTTTATCCTTTTTCACTTCCTGGTACTAAATAGAGGTGGTCACTGTAGCCTCCACCTGCTGGGCTCAGGCAATCCTTCCGTCTCAGCCTTCCAAGTGGCTGGAACCACAGGTACACGCCACCACACCTGGCTTATGTTTTAATTTATTGTAGAGACAAGGTCTCATCAAGTTGCCCAGGCTGATCTCGAATCCCTGGGCTTAGGCAGTCCTCTCGCCTCCGCCTCCCAAAGTGCTGGGATTACAGGTGTGAGCCACTACACCCAGCTGATCTCTTGCTTTTTAAGAAAACAAAAGTTAGTTGAATACATAAGGTTTTGTTTAAGATCTCTGATGATAAAAGCATTGTCTTTAGTGCAGGGTTGTTAGTGTCAGTTGTATATTCCTTGACTGTTATGGTTTAAACACCTGCAAAGTATTTACTCTCCTGTATAGAACATGCACGCATATCGTGTGATGCAGGCGGTGATGAAGTAGTGTCTGCTGTATTCATTTTTGGTTGCTCACATTTTCACCCTTATAACAAACTAACGAAGCAAGCTAACAACAATTTTCTCATTTTGCAGATGAATAAAGGCCCCAAGGGATTTGTGTGTCAGGGCCACACAGCCACTGAATGACCTGTTTGGGATGAGGTGTCCTCTCCTGCCAGTCTCTCAGCCCTTGTCACTCTCCACTGCTCTTTAATGCCCTTGACTTCCCAGCAGTCAGTGTCGTTTCTCCTTTTGTTAAAGAAAGACACACCTGGTCTACATACATGGCTCACTTGTTTTAAAGATTTAAGTGTCAGTTGTTGATGCTTATTACAAACTAAGAGTTCTTTTTTGTTTGTTTGTTGGTTCTTTGTCTTTTTTTTAATTAAGAGTTCTTAATCCATTAAAAACTCTTAATCTGTTCGGGCTGTCGTTCTTTTCAGATGTTATATATTAAGTGTATTAATTCTTTAGGCTAAAATTTAAGTTCCATCAAAATAGTGTATGATTTATGTAAAGAATATGAGATTAATTTTGAGGCACACAAATTTATTTTACATTTTGGATGAGTTTGACTTTTTTTTTGAGTTGGAGTCTCACTCTGTCGCCCAGGCTGGAGTGCAGTGGCACGCTTATGGCCACCACAGCCTCAACCTGCTGGGCTTAGGCAATCCCTCCACTTCAGCCTTCCAAGTAGCTGGAACTACCGGCGTGTGCCGCCACCCTCAGCTAATTTTTAAAATTTATTGCAGAGATGAGGTCTCGCCGTGTTGCCCAGGTTGATCTTGAACCCTTGAGCTCAGGCAGTCCTCTCACCTCAGCCTCCCAAAGTGCTGGGATTACAGGCGTGAGCCCCCACCTCCGGCTGAGTTTGACTTTTTAAGGAAGTTAATATGGAATATAAGGTTATTTTTTGTTTGCAGGCTGGCTGATCAAGATGACGCTGAGTAACCCTTCAGAACTAGATGAGCTGATGAGTGAAGAGGCCTATGAGAAATACGTCAAGTCTATTGAGGAGTGAGACTGCGGCCCTAAATAAACCAGTGTGGAATAACGTCATCCAGCATAGTTGTCTTAAATTCGTGGTGGACGGAAGACTTAAAATAGCAGCTTGTAGCAATACTGATGGGAAAAGAAACTACTCATCACTGCTAATGAGAAACAGTGCTGCTTAACCTTCTAAGGATTACAGTTAAAAACAGTATGCATCTTTTCCCCAATACCCTCTGATGTTGAGACGAGGCCCTAGTATTCCGAATTCATGAAATATCCATTGTAAGACTGGTTATGAAAATTATGTAATGTAAGGATAACATTGTTATCTTAAGCCTTATAAAACATTGTAACTTGCTTACATCCACACTTGGATTTGGGTTAAAAACGTACTGATCTTTCCACTGGAAATTACTGGGAGTGGAGAAGCTTTTGTTGGTGGTACGGTGTCAGATGAAGAACCACAGTAGCTTAATCTTGCATCATACTGCATTTGCTGTGCTGTTTTTATACAGTGAATCAACAGCTTTGCAGCAAAAAAGAAACAAATAATAAAAGATGCAACTTCCTTGTTAATCATGTTTTTTTTTGTTTTGAATTAATACTTCATTTAGTTACTTTGCTAGTGTTTGTGAAAATACTAACTTTACCTTACAGAGTGTTTTATTTTTTCTTCCAAAGGAAATTTAAGACATAGCAATGAAAGGTTCCAAGAAAATGTTTCCTTTTAGTCACAAATCAGGTTTTTCTTAAGAGCTAGTTGTCTGATAGCATTAAGTAGTTATTTTTGTCTTTTTTTATTTTTTAAGTCAGAGTCTCATCCTGTTGCCCAGGCTGGAGTGCAGTGGCATGCTCACAGCTACTGCAGCCTCGACCTACTGGGCTCAGGCGAGCCTTCCACCTCAGCCTTCCAGCTAGCTGGAACTACAGGCACATGCCACCATACCCAGCTAATTTTTTGATTTATTATAGAGATGAGGTTTCGCCAAGTTGCCCACCCTGGTCTCGAACCCTTGGACTCAGGTAATCCTCTCACCTCTCCCTCCCAAAGCGCTGGGATTTTAGGCATGAGCCACCACGCCCAGTCTGTATATGGTATTCTTAAGTTAAACCACATTCAAGTGGATGCAGTGAAGCTTTGAGTTCAGACACTGACTTAGTAACTGTTGTTTGCAGCTGAAGCATATTTAGAGTGCCAAAGGTATTTTCAAATAGCTAATACAGCATACTCGCTAATTTAACCAACTATAATATTCTGATATTGGGTGATTATATATGCCCATATGCAAGTATATCAGCATACACACAAACCAAGAAGAGATAAACTCCTGTCATTTTCTCAGCTACTCCAGGAAGAGAGAAGTATTCAGATAGTACTACCTTGGGGTGAGTACACAGCAAATATGAGAACTAGAGGAAGTACGTTGGTCAATAACACACAGATCCTTCCTGTTCCTCAGCAGAAGAAACCATTGTGTCCAAGACTGCCAAGGCCATACCACTGCTGAACTGTATCATTGAACCCTTATCAAGAAAGTATCCAAAGTGTCCTGGGTGATTGTCTGCCTGTTTCTTTTGTGTAATTATCAATCAGGTTAATTACTTTATCTGCTTTGGAAATAGAGGTGAGTAATAAATACATAGATTTGCCCTTTTGTTTTGTTTTTTGAGTTGGAGTCTCACTCTGTCACCAAGACTGGAGTGAGTGGCACGTTCCCGGCCACCACAGCCTCGACCTGCTGGGCTCCAGCCATCTTTCTGCCTCAGCCTTTCAAGTAGCCGGAACTACAGGTGTGCATTACCACACCTGACTAATTTTTTATTTATTGTAGAGACGAGGTCTCACCAAGTTGCCCAGACAGGTCTTGAACCTGTGGGCTCAGGCAATCCACTCGCCTCGGCCTCCCAAAGTGCTGGCATTACAGGCTGAGCCACCAAGCCCAGCCACCCTTTTGTTTTGAAGGTGCTCTCATATATTACCTTCTTTGATCTTCACAACAGCCAGAGCTAGGTAGGACATACCCATTACGACCACCACTTCACAGATAAGAAAGGTGATAGAGAGGTAAGAGATCTGTAAAGTAACTGGGTGGTCATGGTAAGGATTTGCATAGTGCCTGGTCTACTCTTCATTATTCCTGTAGCAAATATTACTGTAAAAATGGGAGTCTTAATGAGGGAGAGGGATGAATGTTCTAAAGATGGAAAGCAGAAAGAACCTTTTTAGAGCGACAGTCCATTGGTCATCATGGAGGTGGACGGCTTTTTAATTTTCCCTTCTGAGAGAGAGACACCCTTGTTCTGTAACAACCACTCTTAAGTTTTTCCAAAGAGCAGAACTTACAGCATCTTGCTCTTCCATCATTTAAAATGCAGAGCCAAGGTCACTGTCATTTCTGTCATAGTACCACCCAAAATACAGGCTCTGAATTGCCCTTCAAATGGCCTAATCAATGGAGTTTAATTTTTCCAGCCTCATGTTCCTTTTGAATGGTTTTGGCCTTAATAGAGCAGCTTAATAAGCATTGAAGAATGCTTTCCAGTAACTAAAATTTCAGAAATTGAATAGGTTACCTTGGAAGTGTTATTTTTTTCTTACATCACCTTCTAGCTTTAGGTTTTAATGAAGAAACCACTAGAGGGCTCTCTGTGTAGGTATGCTAGTATGAAAAATGAGACCAGTGTTTCAGGTCAGTTCCTCAGCAAATCAGAATTTCTGCATTTTTCTGAATTTTCTGAAGTTTTTCTTGGCCTGTTAAAAAGAGTACAGCCCACCTTGTTTTAAAATTATGTCAACAGGCCAGGCGTGGTGGCTCATACCTCTAATCCCAGCACTTTGGGAGGCCAAGATGAGAGGATTGCCTGAGCCCACAGGTTTGAGATCAGCCTGGGCAACTTGGTGAGACCTCACCTCTATATAAATCAACAAAAATTAGCCGGGTATGATGACACATGCCTGTAGTTCCAGCTACTTGGAAGGCTAAGGTCAAAGGATCACCTGAGCCCAGCAGGTTGAGACTGCAGTGGCTGTGAGCATGCCATGGCACTCCAGCCTGGGTGACAGAGTGAAATTCCCACTCAAAAAAAAAAAATTATGTGAACTATAAGTGTGCCTTTTCTTTTTTTTTTCTCTTTTTAGTCGACTTCTCTGTCTCCCAGGCTGGAGTGCCATAGCATGCTCACAGCCACTGCAGCCTCAACCTGCTGGCTCAGGTGATCCTTATGCCTCAGCCTTCTAAGTAGCTGGAAGTACAGGCGTGTAGCAGCACGCCCAGCTAGTTTTTTTATTTATTGTAGAGATGAGGCCTTGTCATGTTGCCCAGGCTGGTCTCGAACCCATGGGCTCAGGCAGTCCTCTCGCCTCTGCCTCCCAAAGTGCTGGGATGACAGGTGTGAGCCACGGTGTCCAGCTAAATGCACCTTTTTTATTGTATTCCTGCAGAGCTAATCACACCTGCTGCCTTCCATCTTCAGAGACGGTCCTTTCTTTACACTAAGATTTTAAGATTTTAAATTCCTTTCCTTCCTGCAATAGGACCTTACTAATGACCACCTATCACTGTCAGTGTTTTCTCTCTCTTTTTAAGTGTCTTGCTGTGCTGCCCAGGTTGGTCTCAAACTCCTGGTCTCATCAATCTGTCTACCTCAGCTTCCCAAATACCCTTTTTTATTTTCCTTTAAAATGATTTTATTTAATTTTAGAGCAAGTTTAGGTTCACAGAAACATTAAGCAGAAGGTATAGTTCCACATATTTCCTTTCTGTGTTTTGGTGGGGTGGTTTTTGAATCAGAGTCTTACTCTGTTGCTCAGGTGATCCTTCCGCCTCAGCCTTTTGTAGCTGGAACTACAAGCATGCATCATCATGCCTGTGTAATTTTTCTTGACTTGTTGTGGAGATGAGGTCTTGCCAAGTTGTCCAGGCTGGTTTTGAACTCATGGGCTCAGGCAATCAATCCTTTCACCTTGGCCTCCCAAAGTGCTGGGAATTATAGATGTGAGCCACCAGGCCCGGCCCCCTTTTTCTGTTTTGAAACATCACTTTGCTAATTGGGATCTTATTCTAGACTCAATCTCTATATTAAACTTTTTTGTTTTTTGGAGTAGGAGTCTCACTCTGTCGCCCAGGCTGGAGTGTATGTGCACAGCCACAGAAGCCTCAACCTGGTAGGCTCAGGTAATTTTTCCCTCTCAGCCTCCCAAGTAACTGGAACCACAGACATATGTCACCACTTTTTTTATTTTTTGATATATTGTAGAGACGAGGTCTGCCAGGTTGCCCAGACTGTATATTAACTTTTTTTTTTTTTTTTTTTTTTGAGTTGGAGTCTCACTCTGTGGCCCAGACTGGAGTGCAGTGGCCGCTCCCGGCCACCGCAGCCTTGACCTGCTGGGCTCCGGCGATCCTTCCGCCTCAACCTTCCAAGCAGCCGGAATTACAGGCATGCGCTACCACGCCCGGCTGATTTTTTTCATTTATTGTAGAGATGAGGTCTCGCTGCCCAGGCGGGTCTCGAACCCGTGGGCTCAGGCAATCCACTCACTTTAGCCTCCCAAAGGCGTGGGATTACAGGCTGAGCCACCGAGCCCGACGTGTATATTAACTTTTTATAAACATGACCAGCCAAACACCATCTTGACACAGACACACTTAGTGTGAAGGAAATTGGCTTTGGATCTTCCAACTTCCACAAGTACTTATGAGGATGTGCTTTCAGTCAAGTTGTTCAATATTCATTTAATAAATCTTAATTAAGAATTGTAGTGTACTTCCCCAAAACTTTTTGTCTAAATTTTCGGAGTCTCGCTCTGTCGCCCAGGCTGGAGACATAGGTCACTGCAGCCTTGAGCTGGGCTCAAGAGATCCTCCCACCTCAGCTTCCCAAGTAGCTCCAACCACAGGAATGAGCCACCATACCTGGCTCTTGTTTTCAACAGAATTGAAGGAGGACCAAACCACGTTGTCAACTGATAAAACTTTTTTTTTTGTGGTTAATGATTACTATGTGAATTTTGATGTGCAAAAAGAGTACTTAAAAGTTTGAGACATTGCTGTAACAAAACCCCTTTTATTTGCATCTTCATATTTATGTGAAGACAGCTTACATCTATGAAAAAAGCTGGAACAAAATTGTAGCTGAATCTGTCTCATTCTAGCAATATATTTATCCATAGGTACATGAATTGGGGAGGGGTGAGAGGCCCTACGCCTTTCAAAAGGAGGAGGGAGCAAGAAGGGGAGGTAGTGAGGGCTTGGGGCTGCACCCAGAGTTGGTGGGGCCTTGGGTAGGAGCCAAAAGCCCCATCCATTTCATTCTGACAAACTACCAATGACCTGCTTGTTCTTTATTTATCAGCACATGTAATTTATTTACATTTGCCAACATAGTAGGAGTAAAGGTAATTACTTAGAAAAAGTTTTAACGGTTTTAGCTTTATGGTCTTAGGAAAAATTTTCATTTTCAATTTGTTTAGTTTTTTATTGCAGAGAAATATAATAAGAGTACTCTTAAAAATCTTTGACCTTGCCAGGCATGTGGCTTGCGCTTGTAATCCTCACACCTTGAAAGGCAGAGAG